GTACAGTGCCCTGTGGGGAATGGCCTTGATTACTGAAGGAAATGGTTCATCTGTGTACCTATATAAAATGGTATCCATAGTTTTATAATCCAGTTATAACACTCACTTGTTCACTCGTTTAAAGAAACACAGGTCGAAAGATAGTGTTTTTGTTCTAGTGTGGGAAAAGTGTTTTCATTTCATCACACCGTTATATTGTTAAAAATGATACATGATACCTGCAGAAGATCGCATCCTTCAGCTTCTTTTCTGATGACGTCTAGAACTGTATCTGCTAATTCTGCACCTTCTGTATAACGTCCTTTAGCGTAATTATTTCCAGCACCTTGAGTTCCGAATATAAAATTATCAGGCCTGAAATGAAAGAATTTGGATGAGGTTCCCATTGAATTGATGTTATTAAGTATATAAAACGATAGTGTTTTCGCGTGTGCAGAATCACGAAGGGTCAGAATCAAAATCATTGTGTACACTTAATACCACTTGTTTAAAGCTCCCTAAATTTAAATTTATACAACTGTCTCCATCCCTCAGTTAAATCTTTGGATTTCAGAAATTTCAAAAATAATATCGAGAGTTATCTTCTCAACCACTGTTTCTAAACAATCGAAGAATATGCTGCTGTAGCTGGTCAATTCATAGTTCTTGAAAAATGATTCATGTTGTAAAGCTGGGATAAAGCCTGTTCTTATGACTGTTGACCTATTTAGAATGATANTAAGAATCAAACTTTTCTTTGTTCTTCTCCTTTGAACTGTTTGTTTTCTTGGAGAAGCCTTGGGAAATGGCCGAATTTCAACTGGTGTTACCATATTTTTGCTGGTCACAACCGGCTCATTTCTATGTAAAAATGTATTTTCTCTTCGTTGTGAAGGTTGATGCAAATCAATTGGTGACTGTTCGGGAGTTTTCAGTATGGGTGAATGCTGTGAAGTTTTAGGTCCTGTTGAAATTTAATGAATAGAGGGGTCTTGTGACACATCATTTTAAAGCTCCTGACGAATACTTCACAACCCTAGAATATGAAGTCAATATCTTCACCTACTAGAAAATGTCGGAACATTTAATAATTTCCTGAAGACAAACACAGTAATATCGACATTTCTATAAATATTCCTTTTTATCTGTCATATCCAAAAATTAAAACATAAGACGAAATCTATATTAGCATGTAACATGTAACATATCAGTTATGTCGTGCATTATATTCCTAAACTGAGATAAGGGTAAGAAGAATATATCCATATTTTGTAGACTACTGTAGCTTCTACACATAGATGTCAAAGGACAGTGAAAGTGGTGTTGTGAGTTAGGTCCGTCGATGTAAAAAGTTATGTATGACCTGGAAATTATACAAGAAACGTTAAAATTCAATGATGAAAGTGAAGTAGGAGAGTCGATTTAATTATGTATGATTTTGTACGTAAAATACTGATATAAAAACTTGGCAAGTTGACTTGGGTGTCACACCAATAGGTGTTTCCACTTATGTTTCGCTTGCGTTTACGCAGCTATTTTTATCAAGCACTTTCTTGGTTTTTCTTATTTTGTCTTCAATCGACAAGGATTCCTTGACAAGGATTCCATATGGAGCTACGATATTCCAGTTTGCTTCTGACCAATGAATAATGTATAGAGCTAATTGCCTCTACTGATGAGAACTCTCTTCTATTACGCATCACAAATCCTAGCATTTTCATTGCACGGGATATTATTTGTCCTATATGTGACAAGAACGTTAGTTTTCCATCAAAGATAATACGTGGATCTCTCGATTCGGTAATTCTTGCCAATGTTATATTATCCAATTTGTAGTTATATATTTGTACTGAAGATTTCCTTGCAAAAGTCATAGTTTTACATTTGCCTATGGTTAATGATAGTTCATTTTTCTGACACCAATCATGTAACTCAGTGATATCGTTTTGTAATGAAATACAATCAGAGTAGTCTTCAATCTCCCTGAAAATCTTCATATCATCAGCAAAAAGTAGTTTTTTAGAATTGATACTATCTGATGTTAACTGGCCATCGAGATTGTGCGATTTGAACCCGTTAGACTTTTTCTTGTGGAGTTTTCTTCAATCACAGGTATATGCGGATGATCCACACACTACAGCTGTTCTCAAAGTCAACATAACTCATGTCATCGGTCAAATTTAGCCTGATTTATTCAAAGATAGACAGAGCCCAATGAAAGACTATATCCATATAGATCATACGTTTGGGTAGGTATTCAATTCGATTATTGTTATGAAAAAGCTTTGTTCGATATGTTTAAACCGAAAATTTTGAGGGTCATTTACTGTCTTAACGAAATGTATGCATTTCATTTGAATGATGTTGAAAAACACAAATTTTAATCGAAAGTATTAATTTTTTAATTGTATTCAGTTGTTGGCTCGTCTTCATCATCATCATCCTCATCTTCCTGACGATAATGATCCAATTCTTCAAATTCTAAGTGCTGCGGAACTTTTGGTTTTCATATTTCATATACCTCTTGAAGTGCAAGAATTTTCTCTCTACTGAAAGAATTATCTACATCTCTACTGTTGGGAATCAATAATTCCGAAAGATGATAACCTTCTGAAAGATATTTCATTATTGAATTATATACTTTTCATTTTCACTTGATTTTTCTTGAAATGATTGTAGCAATTATGAAGAAACTGAGAAAATAAACAAAGCTGAAGTGTCATACGTTTTAATTTGAATGTGAACACCCAAGAAACTTTTTAATGACAGCCAATTCGAACTATGAATATATTTCAAAGTTGCTTGCCTGCTTGCCAAATGGAAACTCTTCATATATACGATAGATGGCGCTGTAGTCTCCTCAAAATGCGTTCTGATTTTACCAAGTGTCTGAGACTATCTTGGACCGTTTCGGATTTTTTGCAATCTACGCATCATGCCCTGCGCAGTCGGATGTTAGAACCAGAACAAATCCAAAGATTCACACAATAGGTTATAGCTTATCAAAAAGGAACCAAGCGACATTTTTGTGAAAATGAGTTAATGGCACTATACGACAAATAAGTACTCTTGGGTCATGTTTCTGAACAGAACCAAGCGCCAGACGAGTATTAACGCTTGAAAAATGACCTTGCACTGGGACCTAAGGGGATCATTGCCGAAATGCCTGGTTCCGATTTGATATTCAACGAAACGAGTAGCAATATCGCTTGGACTCCTCCTTGTGACTTGGTTCTCTTCTGATTATTGTTTACTTCCTAGTTGTACAGTCGATTAGTTTCGTTCATAATCGTTCATGAAGGAATGTACTATTTTTTCACATTTGCACTTGTCTGGGGTTGTATTCGCAGGTCAATAATATATTCAGTAATCACCGATCTATGTAGGTGAATGAGTATTATCATTAACGGCAACCAGTGTTTCATCAACAGTGTATTGGCGGTATATTTTGGTCAGAAGTCATGAATCGCGGAAGAAAATTAGTACAAATGACATTAGATTCTGAGGCGGGAAAGAAATGGAAGAACCCAAAATTAAAGATACCGAAAGGGTAAATGAATTTTATTGTTATCGATATTTCACTGAAGTTTTATATCCATACAATTGTGAAGGAACTATTTGTTAGATTTTGACATATTTCTTCTATTGAAGGAGTATCTGCTGGATGTCGGCGCTCTTCACATTACTTGATGAGACACTCAATAATCAGTAAGAACTGTTCGATATCGAAAATATGCAATGTCTATTTGAAGACAAAATTCCAAATTCAGAAGTAGAAGATGCAGATGATGTTGACTACATTCCCATGTCCGAAAATGAACTTGAAGATGATGGAAACATAACGGAAACTGCAACAGGACGACCAAAGAAGGGTAGGAAAAAAATTGTAGGTCAGACATTTAAGACAGAAAGTAAGCTTCAACACAGCAATAAAAACTATCAGACTTATTCTGGAAAACCTGTTCATTCAAAACATTTTAATCAGAATTATGAATGTCCATGCAGGAAGAGCTGTCATACACTTTTTTCAGACGATGATAGAAGAAATATCTTTGATGAGTTTTACAAACTAGTGAATTATAATTCACAAACTTCGTTCATTGTAACCAATATTGAAGAGAAAGACATTAAACGGAAAAGAGTTAAAAATTCCGAGAAACGATCCCATACTAGGCTATATCATTCAAAAAACCAGACTTTTTTGAAAAAACCTTAAGGATGTCTTCTAAGAGAATCAACACTGCTGTTTCAAAATTGAGAGATGGAACCAACAGAGATAGGAGAGGTGAGCAACAAGGAGGCAAAAACAAGTTGAAGGATGCAGTTGTCGAAGCCGTAATAAAATATGAAAAAACTCTACCACTGCCCAATATTCTCAGTTTTCTATAAAAGCCAATTCTGGCTGTACAATGAAGGTGTCAGGTGTGTGGTCAGATAGTTGCGGAGGACAGAATCGCAATATTAAGATAGTTTTAATGATGAAAACAATTATCAGCAATCATCAAACTTTAAAAAACAGTTTATTTCAAGTATCTAGTACCAGAACACATCTTTCTAACAAATTATTCAGATTTTTCGTTCATAAGCAATCAAAATGAATCGAAGGATTCATACTAGCAATGATTATATAAACCTACTGAAGCATTTCCGACACAAAAAACCATTGACTGTAAAAGAAATGAAGAAAGAAGACTTTTTTCCTGTACAAGCAATAGAGCGTGTAGTTGTTAAGAGAACGAAGAAAAAAGTTAGTTGGCTCAATAACAGAAGGGGAGCCTTTCAGTATCTTTTTCAAATAAGCTCATAACAAAAATGATGAATTCAAAGAAATTAAGATTCAGAAGAATTTGAAAAAAAAGCAATCAAATTTCAATACAAATCGAAAAATGCTTTGGCCAGAAAAAAAGGAAATGTCAAAAAAGAACTTGCAGATCTTGAGGCTTTGATGCCTCTCATTTCGGCGGATGCAGAACAATTTTATAAACATTTGAAGGGAGCAGAATTCGTAGATGACTTGGAGGGATTCGGTCCAGATTTGATCTTCGAAAATGAGTTTGAGGAGGAAAATAACAATGATTTAAAATTTCAATTGGAAACATTTTTACATTAAACTTAATATTTGTTCAGATAATAGTGTTCTTTTAGTTGAAATGAGTATTTTATAACAACTAAATGAATGTTTTCATTTGAAGGTAATTAAGTAAGTGTCTGCAATGTTGCAACTTTAGAAAGCGTTTTCTCGAAACTACGCAGATGTCGTTTGGTGCCCTTCTGATAAGCATGGCCCTAATTGAAGAAGAGTCGGACCAATCAGATACAAGAGCAGTGGGCCATCCGACAACTAATCCCATTGCAAGTACAAACGTAACAGGGCTGGTAGGTATTCTCGGACAGGGCCATTTTTTAGTTTGCCCATCGTAGCAAGGTAGAGTACTTTGTCCGTTGTCGTATCGNTGTCTGGGCCGGAATATTAGGCAATCATATTATAGGTCCATTTTTCATTGATGGAAATTTAACCGGTGATTCTTATTTACAACTTCTTGAAGAGGCAATACAACCTCGTATAGTTGAAATAATTGAACATCATCCAAGATGTCAAGATGAATTTATTCATTTTCAACCAGACGGTGCACCACCCCATTATGCCCAGCAGGTTTGAAATTTTTTGAATTATCATTTTGAAGGACAATGGATTGGCAGAAGAGGTACAATTGAATGGCCAGCACGATCACCAGATTCAACACCACTGGACTACTTTTTCTGGGGATATTTAAAGTCTAAAGTTTATGCTACACAGCCAGCCAATTTGGATGAATTACGTCGTACAATTATTGATGAATGCCGAGCTATAACTCCTGAGATGTTGAATAACGTAAGAGCTAAATTCGAACAAAATCTTTATTGTTGCATGGAGCAAAATGGCGCACATTTTGAACATTTACTCTAAATTTCCTATGTGAGTTACCCTTATTAGGTGTGCTTTAAAAACAATTATTGGGATTTATTAAGACTAAAACAGTTTTTTAAACTTTTCTGTGTCATCAGCATTCAAGGAAATCAGCACGTTGTATTCGTTGTGTAGGTAAGTTTTTAGTATGATTCACTTTTTTATCAGAAGCATAAAATATCCACGTTAAAAGGCAACCTTCATAAGGTTGCCTTTTATCGTGGAAGGAAAAAATCTACTCGTAATAAACAAATAATTCTAACTTTTTTACGAAATCAAATGGACACGTATTAGCAGGTTGTCATAAAAAGCAAAAATTTATTGTTTTTATGAAAGTTCTGAACGTAAATTGTACCTTAAAAACAATTTGATTTATGTTAAAAAGAGTTGAACTCAATAAAAATACCTTTAAATCTTCAAATTATCTCGAAAACTAATCGTTACAAAAAGTTTCTTTCAACAGAGATGTAAAGGTATTCGAAAGACCTTTAAAACGAGGTGTCACTCGAACTACTTTCCCTATCTAAATAAGGGTTGTCGAACGCACCCCTCCGAGGGGGTGCGTACTACAAAAAATCTGATTAGTCTGAAAGGTGTCCCCCTTTAATTAGAAATCGACGTGTCCGAGTTTTTTTAAAAAATCTTACTTTTTATATTCAAAAACGGCTCTGTTAAGTTTTCGTTGCTACACACTGTATGTGTTGTTTTCGACGTGATATTGAACTATAACAGGTTGTTTCAAAAGTTCTGTCCTTTTTTTTCTCAATCCTCACATTGGGTTGAATATCTCTCGGGGCTTAAGGCAACACCGGTGTCTCGTCAATACCACAAGAGTGCCGAAGATAGTATAGCACTCGTAATGTCGCATTACGAAGCAGAAGGAAATGTATAAGTTTTTCAGGAGCCGTATGGTAGTCCCTGCACCTGGTGTTAGGGACCTCTATACCCATTACGCGACTACGGTAGATACCATCCAGGTCGGCCATGATGAGTCTCTCAGTTTTCGACTTCAACACGCTCAACCTAAGCAAAGCAGAGTCGGATGCTTTGATAAGCTTTAAATGTTGTTGGAGAAGACCCTTTGCTTCGGATAATTCTCATTTAGCCGCACAGGTAGAGTGATCTCCGCGATTTTGATGTGTACTTTTTGCTGAACGGTTCCAACACGGTGTCAGAGTCGTGGTCACCTGGTTAAGAGTTGAAAACTGCTCTCTTTCAGTCGCGAACTCCTGATGACTTCACAGGCTCCATCCATTGCCATTCTGTCATGTAGACAGTCCAAACTAAGATGCATAGAAACTCTGGTGTTTTAGCCGATTCACTTTTATTTTGTCAAAAACACTAGATGCGAGAATTGATATTGGCCCAATTTTATATACTTGTTAATAGGTGGTGCAAGAATCGAGATCTGTCACTTGTATTTTGTTCAGATCCTCAATTGATGAATCATAATGTAGAAAGAATTTTTCGCCTAACATCAATGTATTCCCAAATGTAAACATCATTGAAAATTGAAGTGACGACTTGACCATTTCCACTTGAGGTGGAATGCTGACATGTATTGAATTTCTTTATTATATCTTCATCAAGGTCAAGAAGGTCTATAGATCTTGGTCCAAACTCAAAAGTCCGCGGCATCTCTCGGGAAAAGTATAACCTTGGAAAGTATGATTTGGTATGGAAATATCAGCTGGATTTTATCTTTGATTTGAAGAACTGATTCAAATATGTGAATCAAAACCTGAACGTCTGTACTGAACTAAAACTAGTGTTTTCTAATTGAGTTTGATCGAATTTACATTTTGATAAGTGATTCTGCTCCCGTGGGTTGGGCTACTTATCGGGCACGTCCCCAGGTGGCGGATAGTGAAATGGCCAGGGGACTGGGGGCCCGTCCGGGAAACCAATGTGGCCTTACGGACGGGGTCGCCGGACTCCTGGTCAGTGGCAAAAATAAGTAGGGTGAGGGGAACTAAAACCCCCCAAAAGCCTTTGGTTGACATACCACCGTGGACCAGCCTACTCACGCTGAGGTGTAAGGAATCGTGCAGACAGCTGAATAGCTGCAGTGTGATATGCGGTCACGAACGATCCCCTTGGGGAACTGGACAAACCTCATTGTAATCAGCCTACCTCTGGTAATGCGGGGCTCTGCCAGAGGTGACCAACTTGCTACTCATAGGAACCCACATGAATAAAACAACCCAAAAACAGAAACAACAAAAACAAAAACCAATCCCGAGGCTGGACAGAGGTGCTCACCTCAATCTAAGGTGGTGGCTGGTGATGAACAGAAATTTCCACCCCAATCTACCGCTTGGAATGAGGTTGGACATGGCAGATTACCACCAACAGCAAAGGCACTTCCTGCGGCGGGCGCCAAGAGCTCCGCCTTGAATAAAGGCAAGGAACCAGCTGCCCCTGCAGGAAAGCTTCCTCCTTGTGCACCTCCACGGAAGGAACCCCAAGAAGGTTGAAGAAGCCGCGCAACGACAGTACTATCGCTCCACCTCCAAAACCTTCGCGGAGGCCACCGTGAGACACCTCAAAGTTCCCAAAGAGAGTGTGTTCGGCGAGTCTTGTCTTACACCTGCCAATATAAAGGAGATGTCTCCTAGTGACTTGTTCACCTTCCTGGAAAGGACAGGATGACCTAGAAGAACAACTCCTCGGGAGGATGTACAGTGTACAAATGCTGTGAGTCTACACTCACTCTCCCTACTTTACAGATACCAGAAGTGATTCTGCTACGTTGCAAAATTGACAGAAGTGCAAATGGCTTTGATGCTCTCTAGGTGGCTGGGAGTAACAGTAACAAGATCTACCGAGAACACGAGGCTAATGACCCTAGTTGTCGATATCGTAGAGGCACCAAAATAAAAGCATCCGCTAAATAGTAAAAGAAATATAAAATTTCACTGGCTAACCCAAAGTCCCAA